CTATCTTCTGCACAAATCGGGATCTGTGGGGCCAGCGAGTATCATCTTAAACATCGCCGCCTTCAAGTTTTTCAATGGAGAGCCGGACGTGAATCACGCGCGCCTCTTGTCGTCAATCACAAAAGCTTCGACTCGTTTATCTCCTCCGACCTCACATCACAAACCAATTGGATGGCACGAAATGGAGAAGATCATCCGTCATGGCCTCGACTCGGACAGCAATCAAGAACTGAAGTCGGTGGTGATGGCGTTGCTGATGTTTACCGCCCTTCTTCGCATATCAGAGGTAGCCGCCTTGCAATGGAAGGATATCTCAGAGGAGCCACAACAAATCTGGAAAGTGAAGGTGAAACGAGCCAAGAACGATCAAAAGGGCGAGGGACGTTTCACGTACATCTCATTCAACGGAAGTCAAAAAGCTCAGGCACTTTGGAATAGATGGATCAGTTTCAAGAGAGCGGCTGACGAGTTTATCTTCCCGGGACACAAAGGAATGCCAATCAGTGCAAAGTCAGCCGCCAAGGCAATCACCAATCTCTTCAAGAAGCTCGACCTTCGTGGGCTCACATCACACTCGCTTCGGGCTGGGGGTACAACACTGGAAGCAGCACGCGGAGTCGAATTGGAGGCCCTGCGAAGAAGAGGACGCTGGAAGTCGATGATGGGCATGGAGCCATATGTGAAGGATTCGCTGGGAGCGCAAGGAGGAACGACACGTCTTCCAAATCCGATTTAAGCCCACCCGAGGCAATTATTTGTATTGTATTGGATTTTTGATGGTTGTTATGTTTGTTTGTTTGTTTTATGTTGGTGTTTGTGTTTGTTTTGTTATATGACTCAGGTGTATGTCTTTATACTCTGCTCATTCGATAAACCATCACCCTGAAATTTCGGAGTATAAAATACTATTTTGTGCTATGAGCGTAGAAATAGCGTAATGAAATGAAGTTTTCGAAGCGAAGCACAAAAGGTGCGCTAATGGGCAAGGTTGCGGAAAAAAAAGGTGCGCAAATGTCCGGGTGCGCAAAAAAAAGGTAGCATTTGTCCCACTCCCGCTTTTTGGCATTTCACAAATTTTACAAAAGAAATTTGATTTTTAAAGTTTTTTAAAGATTTTTAAAGTTCAAGAAAGTTTTTCTATGACTCTATAAAGATTTAAATATAAAATTCTAGCTTATGAGTTTACTTTTACATTTTCTACTCTTTTCTACTCACTAGTTGTATAGAAAGCAATCGTGACGAGGCCCATTTCATCCGTAAACATTTCCATCAACAGAAAAGAGAGAATTTATGAAGAAAGAAGAGAGATATTTTTTACGAAATTTAACCTCAATGATTCTCATTTTCATTTTTGATAAGTTTTTGGGGATTTTCCCACCAAAATTTAGCTATTTCCGAAAAAATTTCCCCCTTTTCACTAAATGAGTAAGAAACTAAAGTCTTGTGGTGTTTAATGTAAAAATGATTTATCTATTCATTTAAATTATAATTTTGAAAAGCTTAAAGACAAAAATCATGTACTTGATCAAAAAGTTTTCATAAGTGGCAGCTTCGGAAGCTGGTATAAACCACACAGCAGCCGTGGATTGGTCATCATTTAACAGAGAAAGCTGCGTCAAAATTCTTCTCATCAATCGATCCGAAAAACTTGATGGCATGGGAAAGATCGTGGAAATCAATGAGAGTTTCTTCAACAAACGAAAATAGAAATGCAATACAATGTAAAAATAAAAGTAAAGGTCATCAAATGTGATGAAAAATGGAAATTTCGAAAATTGAAAGGATAATTGGTTCTTTTCCTTTAGACATCCGCCAAATTTGCATCCTTTCATGAAAATGAGTAATTTCATTTGCATTGTGATTTTTTGATAAGGCAATATGCAAATTTTGCTCGAGCATGGTTTTCGTGGGGAAAGAACTTGTGAACTTTCGTGGGGATCGCTCTGGAAACGAATGCTGTACCACTCGGTCACGGCTGCACGGAAACTGGTCCGCAAGAAGCCCGCTAAGACGCAAATGTCCACATTTTCAGAGTCTCAACAAAACTTTAGACACTTATAACTGCTCGCAGATTGTCATTTAGCAAAAATGGAATATATTAGGTTGGCAAAAAGAAATGCGCGTTTTCGTTAAAAGTTTATTTTATTATAAAAACAAGATAACAATACATTAATCCAAAAGGTATTCGCCATCTGCATCAATGACTTGTCGCCAACGTTCACGCAGAGAATGGATGCCCTTCTTGAAGAACTCGACCGGCTGCGACTCGAAGAAGTTGGACACCCAAATTTGGACCTCGTCACGGTTCTTGAACTTTTTCTCGGCCAAGGAGTGGTGCATTGATCGGAACAGATGGTAGTCGGAAGGCGCCAAGTCTGGGCTGTATGGCGGATGAGGCAGGACTTCCCAGCCCATTTCTTCAATTTTCTGCTGGGTGACTTTTGCGACAAGCGGCCGAGCGTTGTCGTGGAGGAATTTTGTCGACGCCGTATCCACACCTTGACGTCGCAGCGCCTGGTCCACGCGGTCCAATTGGCCTTGGTAGAGGTTCGCCGTAACTGTTTGACCCGAATCCAGAACCTCAAAGTACACCCGGCCTTTACTGTTCCACCAAACACAAAGCATCACCTTTTTCCGTGGATGTCCGGTTTTGGAGCTTCACCGGGGTCCAACCACTGCCGCTTTCTTGCTGTGTTGCCGTATTGGATCCACTTCTCATCCGACATAACAATGGAGTCGAAAAACCCACTGTTCTTGGCGCGGTGAGTGAGAATTCCGGCGATTGCGATGCGTGTCGCCTTGTTTGCGTCGGATAGCTTATGCGGTATCCATTTTCCGCATCTATTCGTCTTGCCCATGCCATGCAGATGGTTCTCAATGGTGACATGAGTGCAGTCGAACTGTTCTGCCAGGTCGCGAGTGATTTGGCGTGGATCCGACTCAATGGCTTCCTTCAATGCGTCGTTGTCGATGATTTGAGGTCGACTCCCGTGTTTTTGGTCTTCCAAGCTTTCGTCGCCGTCTCGGAAGCGCAGAAACCATCGTTTACACTGACTTTCGGATAGAGCATCTTCGTCAAACACTTGCGATAGAGCGCCATGAGCTTCAGCGGCCGATTTGCCTTGCTTAAATTCATACCACAAGCAGGCCCGCAAACGAAATTTTTGGTCCGACATTTTCTAAACACTCTTTCTTGCAAAAAAACAAAGTAAACATAGACAAATTATATATCAAACGATGCGCAAGAACACGCTCTTTCCAATAGAATAAACTATTTAAAAAAATCTTTTACTGTGAATAAAATACAAATCAACAAACACGACGCTCATTTCTTTTTTGCCAACCTAATAGATTCGGAATCAGCATCAAATTCTGCGTCGAATGGTATAGCATTTGGCCGACGCAGTCAGTTCACCGTCCCTTGTGAGATAGAAATGTGCGCTACAAACTACAAGTTCAGACTACAATCGCTTTCGCCTCATAACTTGCTTATTTAGTGGAGAATCCGATGATTTTGGTATTGGTAGATGCAGAATTTAATTTTCCGTCTACTTAATTTAATTATACTTCGACTCGCAGCCTCAGGATTTCTTCAGCAAAGGATCCGAGATTTGAAAGAAAAATGGAGAAAGACTATTGCCAACAACGGAGAATATCTTTTGGATTAAAGCGCATTGTTTTCTTTTTGTGGAGATAAATTTGTTTTTCATTAAAAGGGTATTTTCATCCCGGACAACCTAATATTTTTATTTTCGAAATGAAATGGCAAAAAAAGGAGAAAGCCCGCTCTCCCTACCCTTATCAAATTAGAGGTGTTGCCTAAAAAATTTCTTAATTCATAAAACTTTTAATCGTTTTTTGTTTTGCCCAAATACGTAAACAGTGTTTTTGACATTCTATTGCAAAAGGAAAACTAATTGGTCGTGGAATTCAGTGTTCGCTGGTTGGGGGACGGGGATTTGCTCGACAAACCGTTCACTTTCCATTTCCAAACCGATAGAACAACTCAAATCGACGCGAAAAGCCCAATTTTCCTTTCCCCTAAATCACCTTTTCGATACAATATACGCAAAAGATCAGTTGAAAGATGAAAGATGAATTAATTTTGTTTGCAGTTCCTGAAAGTTTCGCAAAAAGTGCTTTGAATGGCTCGGTGAAAGCACAACTCTTCGTATTTATCATTTACCTATTCAAGACTTTAGAAATCTTTTAGCAAATTTCATTGCAATAGAAAGTTTTGCGGAATGTTTTCTGAAATAGAGTAATTTTTTTCCGATGGCATGGATAAGGATGAGGAGAGAAGTGAAGTGAAAGCGGAAATCCGGTCGATCCATCTGAATATCGATTTCCCCTCAGTCACGGGTGCCCAAAACATGTTTTTCTGGGGTAATTTTATGGGAATTTATAAATGTTAATTTATGTATGTATAAATTACCATAAAATTACCCATAAAATTAAAAAAATGACTGAAGGGAAATCGATATTGAGATGAATCGACCGGATTTCCGCTTTCACTTTCACTGCAAACAAAATTAATTCATCTTTCATCTTTCAACTGATCTTTTGCGTATATTGTATCGAAAAGGTGATTTAGGGGAAAGGAAAATTGGGCTTTTCGCGTCGATTTGAGTTGTTCTATCGGTTTGGAAATGGAAAGTGAACGGTTTGTCGAGCAAATCCCCGTCCCCCAACCAGCGAACACTGAATTCCACGACCAATTAGTTTTCCTTTTGCAATAGAATGTCAAAAACAATGTTTACGTATTTGGGCAAAGCAAAAAACGATTAAAAGTTTTTTTAGTTTTTTAGAAGAAATTTTTTAGGCAACACCCCTAATTTGATAAGGGTAGGCAGAGCAGGCTTTCTCCTTTTTGTCATTTCATTTCGACAATAAAGATACCCAAATAAAATTGCTTTTCTAATCCTTGATTGGTGGAGATTTGTATTTTCGAAGATTCACTCAGATTCTTGGTCACCTCAACTATCCTTGTTTTGTAAAACATGGGGTCAGTGCTTTTGAGTTTGCAGATTCTGTTTAGAGTAAGGAAATGGAAATTTACTGACAAGGGAATCTCAATAGGGTGTGGTGGCCAAATGACATGAGCTACTAACCGACGTAGTATTTTGCGCACATTTCGAATCTGCTTTCCGTTCAGCACAGCACAGCAAATCAGCACTCTGTCAAAAGTTATAAGAGAGTTAAAAGTACATCGAGAACATTCAAATCATTCAAAGCTAAAAGAAGCAAAACAAAAGTCAAACGCCGGACTCGAACCCTAGTGTCCTTGCCTCGTATTCACTGCCACTCGGCCACATCTTCTCCTCCCTCGTAAATCAACTTATAAGCTCAAGGTCTGTTTTCTATGATTCTATACAAAACTTTGGAGCGCTTATAACTTTGACAGAGTGCTGCGTTGCAAAAACGGAAAGCAGATTCGGAATCAGCGCAAAATTCTACGTCGGTCCGAAGTCGAGCACACTATCCGCTAGGCCAGCCAATCCTTTCGAAAATCGATAAAGGGAAGGCTTATATCATCAAGTTCCGAAAAATTTTTGTGCTCCCAATTTTTAAACGTGTTTTTATACGGATTAAAGGGTCCATTGGGTTGATTTTTAAGTGGGTTTTGCTCAGAATTTTGCGTAGAATCCGATGCACTAGGTCTCGTAGCTTAACTCGATGCTAAGTTGAAACAGTCCCCTAAAGTCCCTAATCAGTCCCCTAAAGTCAAGCTCTTCACTTAACTTAGAAGCATTTTCCACACTTTTCAGTGACCGTCAGTTACTCGAAAATCAAGTATCGCAAAAACGATTGAGACCGCTGCTGTCCTTGATTCAAATCTCGCTCGCCAGTTTCCTCACTGTCAATCGAGGCTTTCTGTGCACATACGCGCCCGATGATACGACCGGACTGAAATGTTTTCTCGAAGCTGTGCATGAGGTAGTTCATAGACTTTTTGAAAGCTTCGTTCATAGGCCTTTTGAAATTTCACAACTTTGAAAAATCCAAGTATCGATCCTCGTTTTCATTATTGTCGACATTCAAATTTCAGTGGCTTCTCATCGTGCTCTACATTGGAACAGGATTGACAACGACAATACTGATTTGGAGAAATCGTGGAAGACCGACCCATCGAAGGAAAATCGGCTCAGCCTCCGAGCATCTGACAGCCACTTGTCTGCCATTTTTCACCTAACCAATAATCAGTTTTTTTAGTTCTTGCTTTATTCATCGTCGCCAGTGAGTTCATCAAACTTTTCGATGCCTCGGACAGGGACTCGTGCACACCGAACATGTAAAGATAACCATTGATTTCTGATTATTTAAAGTTTTAGCGAGAAAGTGAGGATCGTTTCACTGATATTGTTCACAATAACGAACATCGGATATGTTTGGTGGAATGATCGAGTACGGTGAATCTGCAATAAAAGTCAAAAGCTAGAGCAAAAGATCTCTGCAATTAATTAAAAATCAAATAATTTGTAGCAGTCTTTTCTCAGCCTGTGATAACTCATGTCAGGATTACCGGACATAATTTCCGCAAAAATTAAACAAAAATTGGCCTCTGCGGAGGACATATTTTCCGGGACGCCAATATAGGTTTGGAAAAAGCAGTAACACCAAACAGGAACACCAGACAGTAACACCTAACAGTAACACCTAACAGTAGCACCAAGCAGTAACACCAGACAGTAACATATAACAGTAACCCCAAACAGTAACACCAAACAGTAACACTAGACAGTAACATATAACAGTAACCCCAAACAGTAACACCAAACAGTAACACTAGACAGTAGCACCTAACAGTAGCACCAAACAGTAACGCCAAACAGTAACACAGTAACACCAAGCAGTAACACCAGACAGTAACACCAGACAGTAACACCAGACAGTAACACCAGACAGTAACACCAGACAGTAACACCAGACAGTAACACCAGACAGTAACACCAGACAGTAACACCAGACAGTAACACCAGACAGTAACACCAAACAGTAACACCAAACAAAATCCTGATCTAACAGTAAAAACAAAATAAGGATTCAAAAAGGGGAAATACATAAAAAATTGCGAAATGTAAATGTAAAAAAGAGAGATTTGTAAAGAGAGAAATAAAATAACATTAAAAACCTATTTACAGCCCATCAAATTGCATAAATCATTCAAAAACGCAAAGAAATTTCCAATACTAGGGTTTGTATTCTACTAAATGATCCAAATAATCGAATCGAATCATTTGGATCATTTATTAGAACACGTTGTAAATCAAAAAGAACGCTTTGAGCTATTTCTTGTCGCTTGAGCTTCTCAGATCGAATCACTCCACGTAGCATCACACCGTCTTTGATTCCAGATAGAATAGCTTTTGCTCTGTCGAACTCATCTCTCCAAAACAGAATCCATCAAGTTGAGGACCTGCATTTAGTGTATTGCTATTTACTTATTCACATGCGTGCTTTCCGTGTTGACTTGGAATGAACTGAACTTTCGTTGAAAAGTCTAAAGTAAATATGAAATTAATATCAAAGATGGTAAAATAATCAAATGATAAACAAAAAATATTGAATTAAAAAACAAAAAATTCTTGCGCGATTTTAATTGACGTGTTGCTAAATAGCGTCCCGGAAATTATGCCTTCTTCCTTGCGGAAAATATGTCCTCCTTCGCGGAAACTATGTCCAGTAACGCATGTTCAGATTCCCAGCAGCACAATCGGCCTCCTCCATCAGAGTGTCCATCTCCCACTCTCGATCTACATCGCTTTCCATGCCGCGTTTCGAGAAATCGTTCACATCACAAGGCATTTTGATCATCAGTGAGTTTGTTTTTGAAATTGAAAATACTCGATCGATTTTCCAGAGGCAATGACATCAACTTTCTCGCGAATTTGGTCATCTTTTTGTGAGTTTCAATGCCCAACCTCGATTCGATTCGAATCGATTTGATTCGTGATTCGATCCGATTCAATTCGTGATCCGATTCGACTCGTGATTCGATTCGATTCGATTCAATTCATGATTCGATTCCGAATTCGATTCGTGATTCGATCCGATTCAATTCATGGTACGATTCGACTCGTGATTCTATCCGATTCAATTCGTGATTCGGTTCGATTCGTGATTCGATTCGATTCAATTCGTGATTCGATCCGATTCAATTCGTGATTCGATTCAGTTACGCTCTCAACTTCGAATTTCACGTTCTACTCGCCAACTATGCCTATTTGATTTTGAAAGCGAAAACCGGTTGGGGCTTTTTGAATTTTCAGAGACATGAACAGAGGTTTTCAGAGGAGAACGAGGTTGCGCAAAACGATGACCACGAAGCACCACAAAGCTTAATAAAGAGTGTCTGCATGCTGGTTTTGGGATGCATTGGTGAAATTGTCGAGGAAAATCCTCAAAAGCTACAAAACTTTGTTTAGATGCTGCTGTTCTCATTTCATTTATCATGTTGTACTTGCTGAAAAAGAACGAGTTTCTGTATTACTGGACGGTGAGTTAAAAAAAGAAATTGAACATAAAAGTCATTTAAAGTCGATAGTACGTTCACGTCAATTGTTGAAATTATTCAAATGATAAATTAACTTCAATTTTCCAGAGTGACAAAGCCGGGGCGATCCTTGTGTTGATTCTGATGAGCACTTTCGTGTGCTCATTCCATCTCTGGCGATCAAGTGACTATCTTGGAAGCAGAGACTCAGATTATCTGGTAAAAAAGAAATAAACTTTGAAATTTCAAAAGAATTTCAGTTTCCTGAAGCGCCTAGACAAAGGGAAATACAATTGGTTTGGCAAAAAAAGTGTTTCCTTTCAATGAAAAGCTTTAGAATGTAAATGAAATCGTTGATGCAATCGACATCGAACCTCTCAAGTAAAACGTTTTTTTCTTTTATTTTACCAGTGATTTTTTTCAGGCCAATAATCAAAAGGAGAAATCAAGTCGAATTCTGTTTTGGTATAGTTTTACCATTTTGTTTTTGTTTCAGGCTGAAGAACACGAGAATAAAGTGATCACTTTTGCAGCGATTTGCATGGCTATCTACAATTTTTGTAAGTGAAATCAATTTTAAAAATTTGCCCTTAAGCCCTTAAGCAACATTTTTTGTTTTTTTTACATTCTATTCAAAAATTCATATTTGAATTCTATGCAAAGAAAATGGGGAAGTCTCGATTATTGACGGTCATAAAATTCCTCTTTTTTTAAATACTATTAGGTTGTCCAATAAGTAATGCGTGTTTTGACACGATTTTCAAAATATCACAAAATTAACAAAAGAGAACTTTATTAATCGATATATTCTCCACAACAATCAACAACATTTCTCCATCGTCCGAGCAAAGAGTGAAGTCCGTCATAATAGAATGAAGCTGGTTTCGATGAGTAACATCGAAATAAGTAACACGCATTACTTATTGGACAACCTAATACCTTAGGCTGTTTGATTATTTATCTATTGGGTTGGTGAATTGAAAACTGCTGGACTTTGAACTAAAATTTATTCAACATAAAACCATAAATTGATTCCAAATAATTTCCATTATTATTGACGACTTCTGCCTATTTTACAGACAATTTGCGGGTTCCTCTTTCGTAGTAGGATTTTGGTTTGTGTGTGAGACAAGTGTGAGACTCAAAAATGGAGGACTGGAGATGTCCCAGTTTGAGCACTTTCTTCAAAAGAAACCCATTTTGGTGTCAATAGAAAAGTTGTAGAGAATCAAAAATTAGGCTTATAGTCAAATTTCCAAAAAGATAAACTTAGTAGTTTCGCTTAAAATGCAAGCTTTGTGAAAATTCGTAAATTTGGCATTTCTTGAAAACCAGTTTTTGAATCGTTCTGAAAATTTGGATATAAGCTTGATTTTTGATTCTCTACAACTTTTCCATTGACACCAAAATGGGTTTCTTTTGAAGAAAGTGCTCAAATTGTCACATATGACAATAGCCCGCAGTTTTCAATTCACCAACCCAATAGTATTGAACTCTCTACTGGTATTGCAGGCTTAGAAGGGCAAAAATAGTGTTGAAAAAGTTTAAAGGTACTTAAAATAGCATTCAAATTTTTGTTCTTTGTAGTCGTTGAGATTGGATCGGTTTTATCGGAGCTTTTCGCGGATCTTCTTGATATTCTTCTTTGTTGTCACGGTAGCTTTTCGGCCCCAGTCCGATCGATCAGAAGTTGTTTCTAGCATCAGGTCATTTGATCGATCTTTGCGCTTCCTTTTGGCATCGATTGTGAGAAATTGGGCTTTCGCAAACTTGTAGACTTTCATGTTCAAATGTTTTTTCACGATTCGACTCATTGACCCTTTGGAAATCTTCAATTACTTGGTCATTTTTTGTGTGATTGCATCGGGTTGTATCGAAGCTTTTTGATATTCTTCTTTGTTGCCACGATAGCTTTCGGCCCCAGCCCGATCGATCAGAAGTTGTTCCAAGATCATTATATCGACGAATTGCCTCCGAAACGACCGATTTTGCCACCATCAGTCTAGCCAAGATTCTTGAGCTTCAATTCTCTATACAACACTTGACACTTTTGAATTCAATTAGGCCTTTGAGAACTACATTTTCAAAGGCATTGCACGCATAATTGTTTGTGGCCTTGTATTGAAATATTCAGGCGGTTTTCTCTATTCTCTGCAAGTGCTCGTCGAATACGACAATGTGAAAGAGAAAGAAAAGCACACCTATTTGTCGATCGTCAACTCCTTGATTGTCACCATTTGCAGTAACATCGAGATCTCGATGCAGACCATCTACCTCACAAAGTGTCATCACTACGAAAGACACAAAATAGTATGTCCTATACAAAGTTGTTAGTTCAATTAGGTATTAGTTCAATTAGTTATTAGTTCAATTAGCTATTAGTTCAATTAGCTATTAGTTCAATCTCTGTTGCATGCTTTGTGCTATTTTCTTCTCAAAAGTGGTCTTCTTCTTTAGTGGCTTCTCATTCTTTTCTTCTTCAATGGAATTCAAGTGACAATCAATTTGATGGAAATGTTCGAAGCCGGCATTCACGATGCACCGATCACGAGTGTCGCCAACAAGAATTTCATCATCTTCACAAGAGCTCTGAGCAGTTTCGCCGTCTTCTACAGGTTGGATCCTAGTTTTTGTTTTCAACTCAAAACTGTTTGTTTTTGCTTTATTTCTAGGTTGGCTTCATTTTTCCGTTTTGGGCACATTCTCGAGCACGATCTCGAGCACGATCTCGAAGGGGAACACGAAGAACAGAGAAGCCTCGTTGTGCATGGCGAATGATTTGAATCTTTTCGATCTCGATTTTTTATTGTTTTAAAATCTTACGAAACAAAAGAGCTTAAAAATCAAAGAGATTAGAGAGACAATTTTCTACGCATTAAATCAAAAAGACGAACAAAGCGCTCAAGGAGATCATTATCAAAAAGCGACTTTCCATTCCTCAATCAATAGAGAAAGTTTTGTGTGTTGAGAATTGCTCATCCGATGAGCAAAAAATAAAGCTCATCCGATCATCGATCCATTCGCAAATTTTAGCGGTTCCCATCGCATGCGAACTCATTACTAACTGTTAAAAATCGAATGCTCTTCGGGCCGGATGAACCTAGCACGCAATTTCACTCTTTTTGCGTATTTCTGCACTTAAGCGTCCTCATAGCCCATTCTGATTCGATCTTCGAGTAATTATTCTGAAACAGCCATGATTTTTTAACTGAACTGAATCAGCAACCTCTTGGTATGCAAGGAAAGATGTTTCTCCATTTTCTGCAAGGAATTCGTCAAGTTTCATTTTTTTTTTATTTCATAAAACCGTCTCGCAGTGTCGAGTAAATTTAAGTTCAAAGTATTTTCGGGCAAAAAATAAAGCTATACAGAATGGCCGACGAAATTTGGCGCGAGGTTTTTGTCTCGTAGATGATGGCAAATTTAGCAAAACTTATTGAAATCATATCCAAAAATGTAGGAAATTTTCTGTAGTATCTGAAAGTTCTAATTATTTTACAAGAAGTTCCCTAGTTTTTGAGCTATGCCCTTTTCCGTATTCCCTAAAAAAGGTCTTTGCATCGCTGCTCGTTTTTTCCTTGATCCTTGAGAGCCTGGTCTACTCGTTCCAGCTGTTGCACATATAGATCTGAGGTGAATGTTGGAAGAGAAGGTAGAACCTCAAAGTGTATAAGACCACGGGAATTCCATCAAACAGATAACATAGCCTTTCTTCCATCAGGAATCAGGAGATCAGGTTGTGGCGTCGTTTTTGGCTGTTCTCCTGGACTTAACCACTGCTGTTTTCGCGATGGGTTATCGTAGTAAATCCACTTTTCTAATCCAATTTCTAATAAAGTTCTAATTATTTTGCAAGAAGTCGCCTAGTTTTTCTACATCGTTGCAAGTTCCCTAGTCGACAAGGTTGGGTCATCTTTTTTGGCCTTTTTTTAGATGGCACGGAAAAGGGCATAGCTCAAAAACTAGGCACTCTGCAAAAAAAAACTTTATAGAAATTGATTAGAAAAGTGGATTTACTACGATACCCATCGCGAAAACAGCAGTGGTTAAGTCCAGGAGAACAGCCAAAACGACGCCACAACCTGATCTCCGATTCCTGATGGAAGAAAGGCTATGTTATCTGTTTGATGGTTCCCGTGGCTTACACGAGGTTCCCTTCTCTTCCAACATTCACCTCAGTCTATATGTGCAACAGCGGAACGAGTAGACCAGGCCAGGATCAAGGAAAAACGAGCAGCGATGCAAAGACCTTTGGGAATACGGAAAGGGCATAGCTCAAAACTAGGGAACTTCTTGTAAAATAATTAGAACTTTCAGATACTACAGAAAATTTCCTACATTTTTGGATATGATTTCAATAAGTTTTGCTAAATTTGCCATCATCTACGAGACAAAAACCTCGCGCCAAATTTCGTCGGCCATTCTGTAGATGTTAGTTTGTGGACCTACTTTTGTAAGACGATTAAAATTGCGCTCGCATTTGTGAAGTGTGCCATTTGCAAAGAAGTTTCTCCGTTTTAAACGTAGCGATTCATTTTGTAAACCCCTTTCACAAAGTTGTGTCATTATCACTCATAAAGAATACAAAGAAAACAGAAAATATGCAAAAAGAATGAAATGAAATGAAGAACAAGAATAAAAGAATGAAATTGTGCCCATTCTTTTATACCTGCAAATTAGGAGGTAGTTTTATCAAGTTTGAAAGCGCCAACCCAGGAAAATTCGTTACATTGATTTTTTTCGTTTAACAAATCACTGTATCAATTGTAACTTTGATTTGGGTTTCTTCGACTTTTGACTTAACTCCTTAACTAAGTAGAAGAACTACTTAGAAGAAACATACTGCTCGAAAGAAGGATACGTACTGTTCGATTCTTGACCTTCTTGACCTTTGGAAATATTGAATTTGATGGAGATAATGATTCGGATAACGATTCTGCTATTGATTTCTTGACTAGTTCATGTTTTACTGTTTTTGAAAATTTGTTAGATTGGTCTTTTCGTTTAACAAATCACTGTTTTAATTGTAACTTTGATTTGGGTTTTTTCGACGTTTTGTCTTAACTCCGAAATTGGTCGTAACTCGGAAATTTGTTGTCCCGAGTTTTCTCTTTTCGTATCAAATCAACAATTGCGAAATTACGAACTCGCTCATTTACTGTACACAATTTACCAGGTGTTCTTTTTCGCAAATACCGAGAATCTTTTTTGCTTTGTTACGATTTGTTTTTGTACAAGATTTCAGTAAAATCAGGATATCTCATTAGTCCTTCTATTCACAATCATATTATTTATTTTTAAAGTTACTCCTCAAAATAATCATCACCTATCGTTGTTGCATTGTTGCAATTAATGTAATGCATCCTCAAATCTCTTTCATTTCCCTTCATTTCATCTCTGATTCGTCATTGAGCAAAATAAGAGAAAATAAGAGCAAAATAGAAAGAGTTCAGTTGAGTTCACTTCATCAAGAAGAAGGAAAAAAAGAAGGAAAAAGAATGAAAAAGAATGGGTGAAAGCCTCGTTCTATTAGAATTCACTGGACGTTCGTTTGGAGTGAAAGCGGGAGAAGGAAAGAGTAGGAAAGAGAAGAGAAGGGGTTGGGGCCGACGGGAGGAAAAAAGGTCCAATTCAAGTTCAGCCTACTCCCCTGCTGAGAAACTAGAAAAAAAATGTTTGGAGAAAAGAATTTCCGTTAATTTCTATTTCTACAAAGCTTGGCTACAAAGCTGGTGCCTTTCACAGTGTAAATATAGCTAGCTACCAGGCTTGTCAAGCTTTGAACTACCCTAGAGCTTCTTCAGTCCTGCTTATTGTTCTCATAGCCTTTGAAGCTTACTGTTGTAGTGATTAGGAATTCAAAAGAAAAGTTCATTGTTCCCAGATGACCACGACAATTCTTGATAGGCTTTTTGTAGATGGCATTTGGCAATATAGGCATTTGCTTTTTCAGTTCTACGTTTTAACAAACGTGAAGTTTGAAATCAAAAACTCATTCGAATCAGGCCATGTTCGCAGAAGCCGATTACAAATTGTACACGACTAGCGAAAAAAATGTCAATAATTAGCGGCTAAAATGCCGTTAACGAATGATTCGTTAATGGCTGAATTTCGTAAACGGCTACGACATCTATACTTGGTAGATGTCGTAGCCGCTATTGATAGATTACAACGATATCTTAGTATTTGTCACATACGAAACCCAGATTCAATTCATTTTTTTGGAATTCTTTTTGCAAACCTCTAAATTTCTATAAACTGTTTAAAGTTTCAAGCCATAGTCAAGCTAAGAAAAGTCATAGATTACAACGATATCTCAGTTCTATTTTTACTATTCAATCCCTAATCTATGAACGACTTTTCTTCGAGAACCATCCTTGCCGTTGTGGCCGTCGTAGTCGACCGGATAGGAATCTTGTCTCCTATCCGGTCGGCTCTTATCCGGTCCTAGTCGGGGGTTTGATTCGATCAAAGGTTTGATCCCGGTGGCCAGAAAAATTGGTTCTTTTTCCCATCATTATGGGTTTTTTTCTTAACGACATTTGGGTAATAGGGGTAGGGGCTAAAAACTAAAAGATGAAAGATCCTCCGTTGTGTTGTGACCCCCGACTAGGAGACAAGATTCCTATCCGGTTGGCTACGACGGCTACAACGGCAAGGATGGTTCTCGAAGAAAAGTCGTGTAATTTCCTCCGTTGTGTTGTAATTCATTATTCGTGTCGAATAAATCTACTACTTGCAAATCTCCATTTATTTCAACTCATTTACTTGTATTTCAACTCTTTTCAATACCTTCTTTCACCAATATTTCTCACTAAAACTCTTTTCCCAGCCGATAACGTGTATACTTTATTTTTATAGCTAGCCGCATCGACTCTTTTTTTTTCCTCGTCAGGGCATCGCGAAATTCTCTTTTTCTTTTTCCTCTCACCCTTGAATGTTTCTCTGATTCAGCGAGAACGCCCAAATTTTTTTCGATTCTCAAATTCTCCAAAAATTCTTTGATATTTTTGAAGGCATCGAGTCGCATTGGAACGGCGTGGAAATAGTTTGAAAAGCGGAGAGAAAAAATGGGGATTGAAAAAGAAAAAGAGATGGCTGCCAGTTGAAGAAGAGAGTCGCTCACGGGCCGGCCCAAGTGTTCCCCTTTCTCGTTTTTCTATATCTATCTTTCATCTTTTAGTTTTTCTTTTCTCCATCCTTTCTCAATCATTCTTCTCATCTAATGTTCTTTTCAGCATCGGCTTTCTCTGCCATCTCTCGTTTTTAACAATCCCAATTTCTGAGTTCTGTTGAAATTTCTCGATTCTCTTTGAATGTGCCCAAACTTTCGGCTTTTCTAGTAGACTAAAAAGTTCGAATTATCTCTGTTTCTAAATCCTCTGTTCTTTGTTTTCCTTCTCTACCCTTTCTTTCACCAATCTCTGATCTTTCTCCCATTTTCTCTATTCTGCAACTTTCCTTCAGTTTCCATTTTTCTCTTCTAATCTTCTCGACCTTGCTGCCAGCCCAGGCCACGCTCAGCCGACTTCCAAGAGTGTTCCCCTTCACCCATTCGCATTTCCTTTTCCCTTTCTTTTTCCTTTCTTTTCCCTTGATCTCTCTACTTTTCTTTTCCCTTTCTTTTCCATTCCAAGCACTAACACCCAGCTAATACCCATGAATAAGCCAAGGCCCAGTCGTTTTTATGTCTCTTTCTTTCTTCCTTTCTTTCTTTCTTTCTTTCTGTCTTTCTTTTTCTCTTTCCTTCTTCCTTCCTTTCTTTCTTTCTTTTT